TTCCTATACAACTTAGTAAACAACAAGGAGCAAGTAACCAAATATCACAGTACGATTCTATACGTACCAACCAAAATCCGTGCAAACTTTGAATCTTTCCACCACCACCACCACCACCATACACACACACATGTGTGACATCACTCAAACCATTCACGCCACCACACCCCAGTAACCCATCAATCGCACTTTAAACGGGTTTCCCCAAAATCCCAAATCTTCCCCAGTTTTCATACCTCAGTTCGCAATTCTCCGTCGTGTTCCATCCCTAGTTCTCGCAATATAGCCACATATATATATATATATATATTTTTTAAAAAAAACAAATCCCCTCCTCCCCCCCAAGCCTAAAAAAAAGAATATAAGAAAATGGAGAGAAGAGAATATGGTAATAAATAGTTGTAACAATGTTTGCCCGTGAATTATTAATTGTCGGGGGGGGGGGGGTTTTAAATAAAAAAAATCAAGAAACGGAGATTGATTTCATTTGGATTGGGGAGATGGCAAAAAAAAAAGAAAAAAAATATAGGGGCAAAGCAGGAAAGAATAGTGGTGAGAAATTCCAAATAATTACTAGAGATTTGAATTGATAGTAAGGGCAATATGATCAAGTAAGAGCCAACGTATAAACAATAAGGACGTAAAGCACATGTTATCAAGTTATTTATCATGTGCTAGTTAGATGATAGTAAAACGCACTTTGCTCTTGTCGTAATCACTAACAGAGTAAACCCTCCCAGTACTCCACCAAGCAAGTCCATACATATTCAAGCAGAATTCAAGTCACTTCACACGAACATTAGAAAACATCTTTTGCAAGTGTCATAACGCATGCATTGTACAGACTGCTTGTGTCGGCAGCCCATGCTAGTCTATCTAACTAACTAATCATCTGGCTCGAAACTGTGCTTTTATGAGATTCCTTTCACCCAAGGTCACTTGGGGGTCCAGGGTTCGCATGTCAGGACACGGGGAGATGCAAACCAAAAAACGATCTTTTTCGAGTCCCACCGCCGAATTGGCCTTGAAAAGACAGCCACCATGACGGTTACCACAAAGAACCGGGGTATATTCCTTCCGTAAAAAAGGTTGGGTCGTGGCTAAACCTTCATGAACGCCATCTATGCAGCAAACTTTTTCGTCGTCCCGAACAGCCATGCTGCTACTCTTCGCATGTGAAGAGATCGAGAGACAAGAGGACGACGAGAAAGACATTGTCGCCAAAGGATATGACCGGGAAAAGGAATCACTTTTGTCGTAAATAAGGAAATGCTGACTATGGTCATCCGCCTGTGGATGACTCGGAAAGCGAGAATCTATAGCTCCCCAAGCAGCATGCTTGCAGAAAGAGCGAAGGCGTGAAATGTTCGTAATGCATGCCTCTTCGGAAAAGGCGAGAGTCCTGCCATCTATGCTCGAGCTCGACGGATGGCCGTCGAAGGGTATCGTATGCGAGAAGAGCTCGAAAATAGGCAGAGCCGCAGAAAAACAGTCGCTGTCTATATGCTGATTGGGGTATAAGATTCCAGATTTCCGCATCGATCCGTGATAACCGGAAAAGATTTGCAGAAACAAAAACCAAAACTGAAGGAAATGAAAGTAAGCCGTCCGTAATAGCAACACGAAGACCTAGGATCTCGTGGAAAAGAACCATGCCCCAGGCTGGCTACATCGTGAAGCAGTGGTATGTGCATTTACCACCAAGAGTTGCCGCCGGGGCCAGATGGGTTGCCGTAGCCACCACCACCATAGCTACCGCCGCCACCGTAGGCAGGGGCTGGGGCAGCATAACCGCCACCAGGGGCGCCGCCGTAACCACCTCCTCCGTAGCCTTGAGAGCCGCCCCAGCTGCCGCCGTTGCCGCCGCCGAAGCCACCACCACCACCACCACCACCCATACGACGAACGTCACGGGTAGCAGCATTGCCACGTCCACGACCGCCTCCACGTCCGCCGCGACCACCACCACCGAAGCCAGAGCCCTCGCGAGCAATGGACTCGAGGAAGCTAGGAACCTCTTGGTTGGCCTCCTTCAGCAGCTCGAGGAGATCACGGACGACACCGCGGTTGCCACGGTTGAAGAATGCAGTCGCGATACCAGTGTTTCCAGCACGTCCGGTACGACCGATACGGTGGACGTAGTCGTCAATATCGGTAGGCAGGTCGTAATTGACAACGTGCTTGACGTTGGGGATATCCAATCCACGAGCAGCAACAGCAGTCGCGACAAGAAGAGGGCAGCGTCCAGATCGGAACATCTCAAGGGCCTTTTCACGCTCACGCTGTGTGCGGTCACCGTGAATAGATGTGGCAGGGAAACCTTGGTTGATGAGGAAGTCGGACAGTGAGTCAGCCATGCGCTTGGTCTCGACGAAGATCAAGCTGAGACCAACGCCGTGGGTGTGAAGAATGTCCAGGAGAACGGAGCGCTTGTCAGCGTCCTCAACATACTCAATCTTCTGGGTAATATTCTCAGAAGTGGAACCAACACGACCGACTGAAAGGAAGATGTATTCCTTCAGGAAATCACGGGCGAGCATCTGGATGTCGCGAGGGAAGGTGGCCGAAAACATGAGTGTCTGGCGGCCAGCGGTGGGAGGCATGTCCTCACCCTCAACAATGCGGCGAATCTGAGGCTCGAAACCCATGTCCAACATGCGGTCAGCCTCATCAAGAACAAGGTACTTGATGCTAGCAAGTGAGATGCGGCCACGCTCGATCAAGTCGACCAGACGACCGGGGGTGGCAACAAGTAAATCACAACCGCGTTCGATCTGGCGGAGCTGGGAACCAATGTCGGCACCTCCGTACACGACACAGGGACGAACCCAGGAACGGTAGGCGAACTTGCGAGCCTCGTCAAAGATTTGGGAGACCAGCTCACGAGTGGGGGCGAGGACAAGGGATGTGGGGTAAGCCTTGCGTTGACGGCCGTAACCGCCCTGTGCTGAAGCTGGAGGAGGAGCGGGTCCGTTTTGGAAGGCCTGAGCGAGAATAGGGAAGAGGAAGCCACCAGTCTTTCCAGAACCAGTCTGGGCACAAGCCATGAGATCACGGCCACCCATAACAATGGGAATAGAGTACTTCTGTACTGGGGTGGGAACCTTGTATCCAGAGAGCTCGATGTTGCTCAGCAGGTGGTCATCGAGAGGCGGGTTCGTGAAGCGTGTGACGGGCTCGGGAACTCCCTGGCCGGAAGCTTCAACAGGAATGTCGTCGTACTTCTCGAAGTTGATACCAGTGTGCTGCTTCGATGGGTCGTTAGGGACACCGAAGAGGTCACGCTCGAGACGCGGGTTGGGCGGGCCGGGAACGTGCTTGCCATCTTTCCAGGTGCCATCACCAGATCCACGAGCGTTGCCACCACCGCCACCAGACTTTCCATAGCCATTAGATTCGAAGCCGCCGCGCTGACCGCCGCCTCCCCATCCACCACCAGGGGGGCCGCGAGGAGTAAAGTTAGGGGCGTTGGCCCAGCCGCCACCGCCACCGTTGTTGCCGTTCATAGGAGGACCTTGGCTGCTATCTGTTAGTCGACGTTCACTTGAGATGTGTGAACTTTGTACTGACCCTCCTGGTCCCCAGGCGCTGCCACCAAGACCACCGTTGCCACCGCCGTTCATCATGGGCGGGCCATCCATAGGTGCAGGGCCTCCAGGGCCTCCCTGAGGGCGGCCGCGAAGGTGAGGGGGGATGTATGCAGAACGCTCGCCGCTGAAGCCGTTCTGGGAGTTGTGCTGGGAGTCGTTGATGTTGAGACGACCCATGTCGAGTTGTTCAGCCATGATTGCGTTGAGATCGGGGATGGCTGATGACGTGTGTTTTCGTGTTTACGTGGTTTGGTTCGATAAGTCGAAAATTACTGTGTAGCAGACTTCGGCTGGCTCGACGGTGAGCGACAGACGAAAAGTAGCAGTTCTAAGTAATGAAGTTTGTAACTCGCAGGAGGGTGCCTGATCTTCGTTTTGTCAGGAAAGAAGGGAACGCCTCTGTCCTGAAAAAAAACGACAAGTAAAGGAGCGTGAAGGCCAAAAGAAAGGGCTTCACACAGAAAATGTGATGGTGAGGTTGTGTAATACACACAGGAGATTTTGAGAGTGGGTGGTGAGAGAGGAGGGAGGTGGCAGCTAAGTTAAAAAAGCGTCAGAGAGAACCCTTTCGAGCTAGACTTGTTCGGGACTAGCTGGTGGGCGTCCCAAGATTCCTCAGCTTTGTGGCGAGTGCGGAGCGGTGAACGTCACAGCTGCTGCTGTACCCTGCACCACACTTGCTTTTCCATGCACAGACGTATACGTAGTGACATATACTTGATGGTCAAAGATAACGGCGGATTTGCCCGGTGGTGTGCTTATTCAGAGCTTGATATTGCCTGGGTGTGACGAAGTCGCCTCTTGAAAATGCATGCTCGCTTGCTTTTGCCACCCGTGTCTCTCGCCACACGTAAGGATGCCTTGTACTTGTCTGAGAGCCTCGCATTGACATCACCTCAGAAAGTGAGCATAGCCGGGAGTGTGTATGCTCTTTTTTGCAGGAAATATCAGATTGCATCCGTACACATCAAGCACGTTTTCAGCAGATGAAACTTGAACAGTTTAACTATGATAGGGGGGGTCAGACCACTAGACGCATTTTGTAGCAGCACGCGAGAGACCACGGTACTAAAGATCATTGTTAGACACACGCGCACTCGAGGAAGCATATCGTATCGTAGCATATACCACTGAACAAAAGCATAGACGGATAAACAGAGAAATGATTCGTATATCATAGTGATCTATGCCATGCTTTTCTCCTTAAGCCCACCCTTTCTTGACCTCAGGAAAAGAGCGCAGGCTACAACGATAGCGACAACAAAGAAGAGCTTCTGACCCAGGGACAAGCCATCTGTAGAAGAATCAGAAGAGGCCAGCCCCTCGAGTTTAGTCTTGTCAGCAGAAGCCTTCGGAGGCTTTGCAATGCTAGCGACATCATCGCCAACTTTTGACGTTGTGACATCGAGGCTGTCGCTAGGATCGGCGGGTTCTGCATCGCCATATAAATCTTGAAAAGGGACGCACAATCAGCAATTGTCCAACTTAAGGGAGTTGACACAATAGCAAGAAATGCGTACTGATGTCTAGAGTTCCTCGTGAATACCTTCCGCTGGTACCTTGAGCTCGCCGCTCTTGGCAATCTTGACAGTCTTGACAGGTTTGTCTCCCGGAGCCTTCTGGACATTCTCGATCTTCTCCACAATGTCGTATCCCTCAAGCACTTGTCCAAAGACGACGTGGCGGCCATCGAGCCAGCTGGTGATGGCGGTAGTGATGAAGAACTGACTTCCATTTGTGTCCTTGCCCGCGTTTGCCATGCTGAGAAGACCCTTGCGGGTGTGCTTGAGCTTGAAGTTTTCGTCGGGGAACTTTTCGCCGTAGATAGACTTGCCGCCGGTTCCTAAAGTACGTTAGAACAGTTCACTTGCTGCTCGGACATGGAGAGCACTTGCCATCGCCCTTGGTGAAGTCACCTGTATTGCTGTTAGTACGCAAGAATCTCTTGAAGAGTACATGAGGGTGTGCACTTACCACCTTGAATCATGAAGTCCTTGATAACGCGGTGGAAAGTAGAGCCCTCATAACCGAAGCCCTTCTCACCAGTAGCCAAAGCGCTACCGTGTGGGTTAGTCTGTGAAGCTGCACAATGTGCTGTGGGACATCGTACCGGAAGTTCTCGGTGGTCTTGGGTACAGTCTTGCCGTAAAGGCCAATGACAACGCGGCCTAGTTTCTCATCGCCATGCTCAATGTCAAAGAAAACCTGATTCATGTGTCAACATGTTTTCTACCAGCACCTGTTGCAGATACACACCTTGTTGGTGATCTTGGGGCTTTTGGCAGCCTCAGTAGTCTGGACGAAGAAGACAAAAGTGATCGAGAGGATCAACAAGAGCGAGATGACAGCTTTCTGGAAGGAAGCCATGGTGCCTGATGGAGGACTCGAAGGCAATCGAGGAATTGGCAAGGGTTATATAGTCTAGGAAACCCCCTGCTAAGATGCAGAGAGCGAGGCGGTATTGAAACGTGGTGTTTTAGTGCTGCCCGCACTGTCGCACCTTAGCTGTGCCAAGCTCTATGGTGCCTGGATTGGGACTAGCGCGGTTGGAGAGTTCGAGATTGGTGCGGGCATGTTGCGAGACACTTCACAACGTAAATTAGTTGTCAGAAGGAGCAACGCCATGGTGGGTTTGGAACAATTGCTGAATCGGATAATGCGCAACTGCTGACAGGTTTAGGTGTTCATCAACGGCTTCAGCTTCACGGAGGCGACCCTCGTAAAACGCTCTCTCCAGTCGTTCTATGGCATCGGGTCTTCGGTCTCGCAGCGCATCATGGCAAAATTCCATATTCACCCGTGGGCGAAAGTAGGGAGCCTAAAGAATGCTACAGTCATGGATCTCACGGCGGAGCTGGCCAACATGAAGATTGAGAACGACTTGCGGCGGCAGGTTCAGGACGACATACGGAGATTAAGAGACATGGGCACATATCGGGGAAGGAGACATGCAATGGGTCTGCCAGTGCGCGGTCAAAAGACAAGAACACAGGTATGTATGGTCTGGAAGATGTTGAAGGACAAGTTTGGGTGGTGGAGGAAGTTACTAACGCGGACAGATTGCGACTGCACGACGGTTGAACAAGATCGAACGAGGTGGCACTGGAAGGGTGTCTATGTGAGGTGGAAACAAATCTACACTTGTATTATATTGTACAGTCTGGCAGCACGAAATGGGGTTTACAGACTGCATAGAAGGAACATCATGACCAAACCGCGACCAAACACTAATGGATGCTCTTGACATACGCCAGACGCCCGCCCTCGGGTGTCATGTCGTATCTGTGATGACCATTGTGCAAAGATATGGGCAATCGCGATCTGCGTATCAATTGCACCCAACTCTCGCACACTTGAATGGATGTGGCTGTGTCACTTTGGGTATCAAGACCATTTCAATCAACTTCCAGATGATACTTGTGCACAGCAACGCAACCATGTCCGTCACATGGATACTAGATATTTCCAGAGCATAGTAGATTTGCCTCACTAGATCAATTGTGCTAGGACCACGGACGTGATTGTCTGGTTCAGAAAGACAACTTGGTGGTCTGTTGAGGCAACATGTGTGGCGCGCTTTAATTTCACAGTCCCGGTAAGGCATTATTGACAGGTCTCTTGGCACTGACAGTCGGGTGCAGGCATGCAGTATAGCGATATTGTCAGCTCGAATGTATACATAACCTTCCATTCTGTGACGCGAACCATGGATCTCGGCGCTGCTATAGACAGGAAACGGTCATCGGACCCAGGGAATGGAAGTAAGTTTGGGCCTTTTGAGGGTTGTGTCACAAACCCAGAGTCCGTGCAAACCGGGATGACAACGACGATCCTGAAATCAATTATCCTATGCGCAGATGAAGTGGTGCTGACGGTGCCGGTGGGATATATTTAGACGTGGAGGAAGGGAGATTTGTCTTGTTCTGCCTTAGGTTGAGACGTGTATTTGTCGATGGGCATGGCGTTTCGGTAGAGTTGGTAGTGGTAGTGGTGGTGGTGGTGGTGGTGGTGGTGGTTGTTGGCGGAGCGGATATCAGACGGAAGAAGCCGCGTCGTGTCATGGGTAGAAGGCTACCATGAGTGAAGGAGTGCAGCGCGTTGTTTCTTGTCGCACTCTTCTTCACGCACCCCGGGGTGGTACAGGCTCAGTATTAAGACAGCAGAGAGAAGGAAAACCCGATGGGCTCGGCCTGTCTCAGCCTTGGTTGCATGCACCCCTGATATAAAGGATGAAAGGGAAAAAGAAAAGAATGCAGGAGGTTACGAAGGAAGCATGTGCATACATTGGGGTGCAGTGGATGGCAGAGCAGGCCAGGCAGTCCGCTTGGGGACTAGCGGAAGCGCTATGGGCGGCTCCCTGCAGCATGCTTCGCTTGAGCACAGCGGGGTTTCAGAAGCAGTGCAGCTTGGAACAAAGTCGTACGATTGCTTTTGCTTCCAAGCAACATGTGTTCCAGCAGCCACAAGCAGCATGCCGGTGAGCACACTCGCTGACTGTATCCCGCTGTTATGTAACGTGCCCGTACGGCTGCCGTGTCGCAGAGCGGCATTTGAGCGGCTGTGGACGACACACCTAGACTGCTTGCTGTCTAGCAGAGCACTCTCTCTCTCTCACACACATACACATGCTAGAGTACTAGGACTACTATAGGCGGCAGAGTCAGGGACACGGCAAGCATCGTGATTACGCCACCCCAGGGCGATGCATACCACGCACATCCATCCACGACTGATCGACGCCTATGCGGGGCTCCATCTCATTTCGGCACACACGAAAAGCTTCTTTGCAGTTTGCTGCCGTCGAACTCAATCCGTGCGCCCAACGCACTCTGGCTCACGCTTGCGCTCGCGCTCAGCCTGGGCCTGCACTGGGCTGAGCCTGGGCTGAGCCTGCTCCCTCGTGCTGTGCGGGTGCCATTGCCATTGCCAGTGCCAGTGCCATTGTGAGCATGAGCGTGAGCGTGAGCGTGAGCGTCGTGGTGCGTGGGCGAGGTGCCAATTCCATTTCTCAGCACACCCTCCCACGCCCGTCATCCACACAGCCTCGTCCAATGGCAGCCGTCCGCCCAAGAGGCCCCCGACTCGCCAGCAAATTGACTACCGGCACCAACGACAGCAGACAGAAGACAGCAGACCACGCGCACACTCGTCTGTCTGCTTGCGTCCGTCAGTGGCTGAAGGCCTCGTTGATAACGGCCAGGAAGCCACTAGGCGGCCGCCAATCACCGCCGCCCATGGCTCTCTCACCCGCCTACACAGCGAGCACGCCGACCAGGATGCCCACCGGCCCAAGCACTTCTCAAACTTGAGCGGACGCAGCCTCGAGGGCCCTCGGCCTGCTGGTGGAGGCGATCGTGGAGACCAAGCGCCTCTCGCTTCTGCAGGAACCGTGCTAGCTCTCCAAGAAGAGGCGTCCATGTCGGCCGCTCTGTCCAAGGCGCCTATGCTATGGCGCCGAATGGGCGTCGACCTTACGACGCTCCAAATCTCTTCTGCTGCTCTTCTACCCCCCAGCTGTTCCTTCTGACTGATATTCGTCTCATGCTGCGCTGGACGCCCAGCTGCTGACGACACTGCTGCGCGCGCCAGCTGTGCACTCACCAGACACCCAACGGCCCCCCGAAACACGACTAATCCCCACTAACAGGCTATTATACCGTCCACCATCCCAGTCGCTCGGCTAAGCTGGTTTGAGAAGTATGAGGACCAATGCAGACATGCTTCAGGAAAGATCCATGGCGCATCATCTCCCGGAGCACAAACCCTCAATTTACCATTCTGCGTCTTCACCGTCGCTCGCGAACAGCTTTCGCTCCCTTCGCGACGACTCGACGCCCTCCCACGACGTGCCCGCTGCGGCCACCCACCAACCCCAGAACCCCCGTCGCAAGCCAGTCCCGAGCCCTCTGTCGCCCGCGTCAACCACCTCCACCACTACCCCAATTCCCTTCAGAGCACCCTACCAAAACTCGCCCTACTACGACTCTCCACGCTTCGACGAGCCGCGCAGCCCCCGCGAGAAGCTTGACGCTTTGTTGGCCGAGGAGGAGCAGCACCATTCTTCGCCCATTCGCCCAACCAAGCCAGCGCATCCGCCTACACCACCCAACGTCCCCACTACCCACATCACCCAGCCCACGAGGCCCTCTGCGTATGCAAAGCTACGGCAAGTCTCGTCTCCTACGCTGTCGTCGGCTGGCATCTCCCCGCCAGCATCTCCCGTCATCATGTCTCCACAATCGCGGACAAATCGACCAGACACGGCAACGCCAACGGTACCTATCCGCAACCCCTCCATAGACTCGGCTGCATCTTCGCTTTCGTCGAGTGCTTCCCAGAACCGCCTTCCTGGCAACCATGCTCCCCGACCATCCCAAGACACAAGCACAGCCAATCCGCCAGACATGGCTGCCCTCATAGCGAGTGCAGGTTCGCCTGAGGCTGCCATGATGGCTTTGTGGAAGGAGAAGCAAAACACGTCCAATCACAATGCACAGCTCTGGCGTTTGGTCGAGAAGCAGCGTGCCATGATCATTGGGCTGCAGAAGGATTTGGAGCGAGCGTTAAAGGACAAGGACCGCTATCGCCGAAAGTTCAAGGAGTATGTCGAGCAGGTGCCACCAGGCCCTGGTTCACTGCAAAAGTCAGATACCTTCAACTCTGTTGTAGACCGTGACCCCAGCGAGTCGCCCGTCACCAGTGAGCAACCCGATGAGTCTGCTAAATCCGGTGATGCCAAAATGGGAGAGTACAAGACCTCGCCATTGACACAAGAGCACCCGGCACCACACCTTATACCAGACTCACAACTGGCAACATCGCCTTCCCAATCTACTGCGTCGAATGCAACATCGAGCGTGAACTCACCCACAGACTACTCTGTGCAGCCCCTCAACCTCGCCACCAGAGGTCTCGGTCTTGACAGCGCCGTGCTCCAGCCTGTCGATGTCACTCAACCGTCAGTACAGGTTCCGAACCCAACAACACCCCCACAAAACGCATCAGATGCAACGCTTGTTCCAGGCACCTCGAATCTACAACCTCCCGAGATATCCCTCATTCAAGCTACCCCCGTCGTTGGCGGTGACGGATTCGAGGCATCCCCACGAAAGCCTTCACAGCCTCTGCGGAAAGCTCCCCCAGCTCCTCTCAATCTCTCCAAACCCGTAACAACCAGCGCGCATCTTCACCAGGCCGTGCATGGTGACGACGTCGATTCCGACTATGACGATACGTTGGAGGTGGATGAGATACCCGTGGTGGAACGGGGAAGGAGAAAGACTCGTGAGGAAGATGACAGGGTGCGGGAGGCCATGTACCTCAAAGACGAAGAGGCTCGAAGCAAGTCGAAAAAGCAGGTGACACCATCTGAAACGGCGGAGAACAATCAGCCTCAGACGTTTCCTGTGCCTCTGTCTCCGCGTCAGATCAATGCTCTACAATCGGGCCTTCCAATTTCTCCCCGACAC